TAAAGAGGAAACGGCGGCGATAAGGCGAGACATTCAACAGATGATGAGGATGATGAGCGGAGGCCCAAATAATCACGGAGGAGGGTCGGAAAAGGGAAGTACGTCCGTGAATGACAATCACGAGCATCGCAACGGTGGGGGAATGCATCAGAATTGGAGGAAAAGGGTGGAATTACCTGGGTTTGATGGGCAAGAGCCGCACAGTTGGATCAATCGGGCAGAGCACTTTTTCGATATTCAGAAAGTGGCAAATGATGATAAAGTTGAACTCGCATATATCAACATGAAGGGTAGTGCGAGCTACTGGTTCAAGATTTGGAAAGAAAAGGCCAAGAATAGGTCTTGGACGGGATTAAAGGCATCACTGATCAATCGCTTTGGAGGAGGATCTCGGGGCACGGTGTACGAACAATTAGCAACTTTACGTCAAGAAGGTTCGGTGGAGGAATTCGCCAGGAATTTTGAGGTTTTACTAGGGCAGACGCAAGGATTGACGGAGGAGTTAACACTAGGATTTTTTTTGGCGGGATTGAAGGAAGAGGTCAAGGGCCAGGTACGCATCTAGGCTCCCAAGGAATTGGAGGAGGCAATCAGGGTTGCGAGAGATGTGGAGGACGCGATGATACGAACGCGAGGAGGAGGTTGGAATGGCGTAAAAATTAGTGGGGGAGGATTGCGACCCACAACGACAGTGATTCGCGGAGAAATGGAGCGACCCACCGTTAATAGATCGGGAGGAGTGGACGGGAGTGCGGCGAATCAAAGAGAAGGGTCGTTGCCGGCGACGGGCCAGAGAGGCGGAAATGCTGGGAGTGGCGATAATCGGGGGAGAATGGTTCGAAATTTGCCCTATCCGGAATTCTTGAAAAGACGAGAGGAGGGACGATGTTTCCGGTGCGGCGGCCCCTTCGCTCCAGGACACCGCTGCGCAGAGAAAGGTTTGAGAGTACTCTTGTTGGCAGAAGACGAGGAGGAGGTGGCTATCGAAGGCGGAGGTGGATCCCCGGAGGGGGATTGCATGGAACTGTCGGCGTGCTCGGCGGAAGGGTTGACGTCGCCGACAACCATGAAGCTCGCAGGGAGAATCGGAGAGACGCCAGTGCTAATTCTCATTGATAGCGGGGCCAGCCATAATTTCTTGAACCGACGGGTGGCAGAGGAGGTGAGACTTCCGATGACCGACACGGCGCCATACGCGATGAGTCTCGGGGACGAACGGCAGAGGATGTCAAGAGGACGTTGTGAGGGGATACCGATCAACATGGGGGAAACTACGGTGGTGGCAGACCTTTACGTCTTCGAGCTGGGTGGGGTAGATGTTATACTGGGAATTGCATGGTTGGCAACATTGGGAGAGGTGATTATCAATTGGAGGGAGATGTCCATGATATATACCATGGGAGGCAAGAGGATTAGAGTGCAGGGGGACCCAGCTCTGGCCCGACAGCTGGTGGAACCCAGGAACTGAAGAAGGTAGTGGATGCTGACTCATGGTTCCTTGTGTGGGAAGTGGGGCAGCTGGAAAAACAGAGAGACGACACGTGTCCAGGGGAGCTCACGAGGGAACAGCAAACAGAATTGAAGGCTGTGTTACAGACCCACTGCGAGGTATTTCACGAGCGAGAAGGCTTGCCACCGATACGTGATTTAGAGCATAGGATTGTCCTTAAGAAGGGTGAGGATCCCGTAAACGTGAGGCCATACAGATATTCTTATTTTATGAAGGAGGAGATAGAGAAGCAAGTTGCGGATATGTTGAAGGTGGGGATTATTCGTCCCAGCAGAAGCCCATACTCCAGTCCAGTTATCATAGTGAAAAAGAAGAATGGAAGCTGGCGATTCTGCATCGATTACCGAGCACTTAACAAGGCAATTGTCCCCGATCAGTACCCTATTCCTGTGATAGAGGAGTTTGTTGGACGAACTACATGGCGCCAAATACTTTTCTTCCAAGATAGATTTGAAGGTCGTGTATCATCAAATCCGAATGGGAGAGGAAGATATCTCGAAAACGGCATTCCGCACCCATCAGGGTCACTTCGAATTTTTAGTAATGCCCTTCGGGCTCACCAACGCCCCAACAACTTTCCAGAACGCCATGAACGACCTGCTGCAACACTTCCTCAGGCGATTTGTACTAGTTTTTTTCGATGATATCCTCGTGTACAGTCGAACATGGGGAGATCACCTCGAACAACTGGGCTCGATGTTGTAGTTACTGGGATAGCAGAAATGGGTAGCCAACCAAAGTAAATGTGAGTTTGGGAAGCAACAAATTGGCTACTTAGGACACATCATATCTGAAAGAGTGGAGATGGACGTGGAGAAGGTACAAGCGGTGTTAGGGTGGGGAGAACCAAGGAATTTAAAGGCTTTGAGGGGGTTTCTAGGCCTCACGGGTTATTATCGCCGATTTGTGAAGGGATATGGGAGAATGGCCAAACCCCTGACAGACTTGCTAAAAAAAGGGAGTTTTGAGTGGTCACCAGCAGCACAGACGGCCATGGAGAAATTGAAAACAGCCATAACCACAGCACCAGTTTTGACTCTTCCAGATTTTAACCAAGAGTTTCAGCTGGAATGTGATGCCTCAGGAATAGGTGTGGGAGCAGTACTCATGCAAAATAAAAAACCTATTGCTTTCTTCAGTAAAGCGTTATCAGGGGGATCTCTGAGTAAGTCAGTATATGAAAAGGAACTTATGGCTTTGGTAATGGTCATTCAACACTGGAGGCCCTACTTATTGGGACGGCGGTTTGTGGTATATACCGATCAACGCAGCTTGAAATACCTGCTGGAACAACGAATCACAACCCACAGCCAGCAGAATTGGATAGCTAAGCTCATGGGTTATGATTTTGACATCGTATACAAGGTGGGGAGCTCAAACAAAGTGGCGGATGCCCTCTCGAGGAAAGCGAAAGGAGTTACGGAAGATATGGAGCTGCAAGCCATCTCACGGCCTTATTGGTATGATTTCTGCGAGGTGTTGAAAGAAGTTGAGGAAGATGAAGCACTGAAAAAGGTGGTTCAGGAGCTTAAGGAGGACCCAAATAGTCACACACCATAAACTCTGGAGAATGGACGACTCCATTATAGAGGAAGGTTGGTGCTATCCGCTACATCTAGTTGGATTCCCAAATTATTGGCCGAATCCCATGTGACCAGAACAGGCGGACATTCAGGAGTGTTCAGGACATATAGGAGACTGGCGCAATCCTTATACTGGGGGGAATGAAGAAAACCGTGATAGGCTTCGTTGCTGGATGCGTAATATGCCAGCAACATAAATATATGGCAGCATCACCGCAGGGTCTACTCCAACCTCTGCCTATTCCTCAGGCAGTGTGGGAAGAGGTGAGCATCGATTTCATTGTCAAATTACCAAAATCTCATAGTTACGATGCAATTTTAGTGGTGGTGGACAGATTGAGTAAGTATGGACATTTTATAGCATTAAAACATCCCTATTCAGCAAGAACATTAGCGAAGGTTTTTGTTCAAGAGGTGGTTAGGTTGCATGGGATTCCGGTGTCGATTGTGAGCGACAGGGACCCCTGTTCCTTAGTATATTCTGGAAAGAATTGTTTAAAATGCAAGGAACACAATTGAAGATGAGTACGGCATATCATCCCGAGACTGACGGACAAACGGAGGTCTTGAACCGCATTGTAGAAGGATATTTGAGGTGTTTCTGCTCTGAGCAGCCCAAAAACTGGAGAATGATGTTACCGTGGGCTGAATACTGGTACAACACTAGCTACCAGGGCGCTGCGAAGTGCTCTCCATTCGAGATTGTTTATGGCAGGGCACGCCCATCATTGAGCAGGTTTATTCCGGGGGAGACAGCGGTGGAAACGGTGGCTCAGGACTTAATAACCCGGGATGAGGCTCTGCAACAATTAAAATTCCATTTACGCAGGGCACAGGATATGATGGTGGGCCAAGCAAATAAAAAAAGGAGAGAGGTAGACATTCAAGTGGGGGATTGGGTCTACTTAAAAATTAGACCCCACAGGCAATCTTCTATGCCTGTAAGGTTACATCCAAAACTTGCAGCTCGGTATTACGGACCATTCCAGGTGATTCAGCAAATTGGGAAGGTCGCCTATCGTTTACAGTTACCTAAAACAGCCAGGATACACCCTGTTTTTCATGTTTCCCAGTTAAAAAAAGCGATGGGGGAGAAAAGGATAGAAAGGGGGCTGCTTGCAGAGTTACAGGCTGATGGACCCAGTTATTGGCCAGTGAAAGTTCTAGAAAGGAGAACCAGACAGCAGGGTGTTGAGCCTATGCACCAAGTATTAGTGGAGTGGCATGAAGGAGGAAGAGATGGAGCAACTTGGGAAGACGTGGAAATGATGGAGGATCAATATCCAGAATTCAACCTTGGGGACAAGGTTGCTGAAGGAGGGGGAAGTAATGTTAGATCGTTATTAGTCTATGAGAGAAGAAAGAAACATAGTTAGTTGGTCTAATTGTTTAGGCAGTTACGGGGAGCGGGGAAAAGCTTTTGAACTTGTATAAATAGTTGTGATTAGTTTGGGGAGGGATCTTCTTTTGGCCTTATTGAATTGTTGATCAGGACTCATTGTCCTGAGGGGGAGAGGTTAAGCTCACTGTATTCTTTCGGTTGATTGAGAGTGAATAAAAGAAGCATTTCTTTGTCTGAGTGTGTGTTTGAAGAGTAAGGAGTGAGTTTTTCCTAGGTTCTTGGGATAAAGAACCTAACACATACCATGAAGATGATTATTGCTAAGGTTAAGATCCCTAAGTTTCGTAAGTGTGCTTATTCTTTGGGAATGGTTCACTAAAGGGCAATACTGAAGTCCCTAAAGAAAAAAATATTTGGTCTCTGACAAACATCAATGGAAAATATCAAAAAGTTGGAAATAAAATCATTGATTTCACCTTTGTACTAATCGGTTAAACAATTTCTACAAATAAAATGTAATGTCAAAGGAAATAGAAGTTTGATAGCAATCCCAAATGCAGAGTAGAAAATAAAAATGTATCAACCCTTGACCAGGAAAACATCAGCGACAGAGGTTACAACCTAAACCAACTCATCTAATTCAAAATTTACAAACCATTCATGCACATTCTATGACAAACACATTGTTATTCAAATAAGGTGTCATCTTTCATCATTTCAACAAGTCTCTAGAGATCATTTCGTGCAAAAATTTCTCTGCCTTTTCAGTCTTGTCGTTCTTAAAGAGAGCCGGGATGATTATTTCAAAAGTTATAACATTAGATAAACAACCACTGTCTTCCATTTTGGACCACAAGGTCAATGCCTCATCAAGCAAACCCTCCTTACAAAGACCACTGATCATAACATTATAAAACCATGTGTCAGGCTTGTGACCTTTATTCAATATATCTTGAAAAATCTCTTGTGCATTCTTAAGTCTCCCCCCTCTACACATCCCATTAATAAGTATTGTTGCAGTGTATATATCGGGTTGAACTCCATTTTCTCTCATTTTCCTCAATAATTCAATTGCCTTGTCTAGATGATGATTTTTACATAAAACATTAATCTTGGAACTATAAGTGATTACGTCTGCTTGTTGATTTCTATCACGCATCTCACGAAAAAGATTCCAAGCATGAGAGATTCTTCCAGTTTTGCACAAACCATCAATAAGAGTACTGTAAGTCACAATATCTGGAACTATATTCCTGTTGTGCATTTCCTGAAAGAGATTTATGGCCTCATCCACCCTTTCGTTCCTTATAAGTCTATTTATCATGATATTGTAAGTCCTAACATCAGGACTCACTCCCATGTGAGTCATTGCACTGAATACTTGTTTCGCATTCTTCACTTTATTAACTATGTAGTACCCACCCATTAGAGCAGTAAAGCTAACAACATCAGGTTTCACATGAGCTTTCACCATCACACCTAACACATTCTTGGCTTCTCCTAGCTTTTTTTCCTTACACAATGCATCAATCAATATATTATAGGTATAAACATTTGGCCTGATACTATTTGATAGCATTTCATTTAGAAAACCAAATGCTACTTCTACCTGTCCCACTAAGCAAAAGCCATAAATTAGAGTACTATAAGTAACAACATTAGGAGAAATTCCCTTGATAACCATCTCAGAATACAAATCATAAGCTTCTTTTGGTTGTTTCTTTTTTAATAGGGAGTCAATAATTATGGTGTACATTACCGCTGATCGACCTTGAATACTTCTGAGCAATTTGATCGCGGCTTCAGTTTCTCCTATTTTGCTCAATCCATTGATCAGAATACCATAAGTAATGTGGTTGAATCGAAATCCTAGTGCTATCACTTTGTCGTGAAGGTTGAAGGCTTCCTTGACCTCACCCTTATCACAGAGACCTCTCATGAGTGTATTTAAGGTTATGGCATCTGGATGATAACCCCGTTTGAGAATCTTGGCAAATACAGAAAAAGCGAAAGCCAATTTGTCTAAGTGACAGAAACAATTGATGAGGAGGTTGAGATTAGCATGGTCACAGAGAATTCCCTTGAGCTCCATTTGCTTAATGAGAGAAATAGCAGTACGGTACCGCTTCATCCTCACAAGAAATCCCAAAATCTTTCCAAATTCGAAGATGGGAGGAACATGGCGCTCATGAAGCAAGCGATTGAATTGTGAGACGGCTTCGTCGTTTAACGAAGTTTGAGAGTGAGAGCAAAAGAGGGAATTGTGGATTGGAAGAAAAGGTGGAAACTTGGCAATGGAAGAAAGAACTGAAAACCTAAAATTTTTTGAGAGCCACATCTTTGCGGCAAACAACAATAGTTTGAAATTATTCAAATTTAGGTTTTCTTCCTTTTAAAAGCTTAACTTGAATTCTTTAAATTTTCTTTTGTTTGGACAAATAATTAAATTTAATGAATTTTAATTTTATTTTAATTTTTTATTTGGATAAAAGTTTTTTAATTACCACTAAATTTTAAAAGTTATTTAAATTTGAAATAATTATTAAGACTTGCACCTTCATTCTAAGNTCCGGGGGAGACAGCGGTGGAAACGGTGGCTCAGGACTTAATAACCCGGGATGAGGCTCTGCAACAATTAAAATTCCATTTACGCAGGGCACAGGATATGATGGTGGGCCAAGCAAATAAAAAAAGGAGAGAGGTAGACATTCAAGTGGGGGATTGGGTCTACTTAAAAATTAGACCCCACAGGCAATCTTCTATGCCTGTAAGGTTACATCCAAAACTTGCAGCTCGGTATTACGGACCATTCCAGGTGATTCAGCAAATTGGGAAGGTCGCCTATCGTTTACAGTTACCTAAAACAGCCAGGATACACCCTGTTTTTCATGTTTCCCAGTTAAAAAAAACGATGGGGGAGAAAAGGATAGAAAGGGGGCTGCTTGCAGAGTTACAGGCTGATGGACCCAGTTATTGGCCAGTGAAAGTTCTAGAAAGGAGAACCAGACAGCAGGGTGTTGAGCCTATGCACCAAGTATTAGTGGAGTGGCATGAAGGAGGAAGAGATGGAGCAACTTGGGAAGACGTGGAAATGATGGAGGATCAATATCCAGAATTCAACCTTGGGGACAAGGTTGCTGAAGGAGGGGGAAGTAATGTTAGAACGTTATTAGTATATGAGAGAAGAAAGAAACATAGTTAGTTGGTCTAATTGTTTAGGCAGTTACGGGGAGCGGGGAAAAGCTTTTGAACTTGTATAAATAGTTGTGATTAGTTTGGGGAGGGATCTTCTTTTGGCCTTATTGAATTGTTGATCAGGACTCATTGTCCTGAGGGGGAGAGGTTAAGCTCACTGTATTCTTTCGGTTGATTGAGAGTGAATAAAAGAAGCATTTCTTTGTCTGAGTGTGTGTTTGAAGAGTAAGGAGTGAGTTTTTCCTAGGTTCTTGGGATAAAGAACCTAACACATACCATGAAGATGATTATTGCTAAGGTTAAGATCCCTAAGTTTCGTAAGTGTGCTTATTCTTTGGGAATGGTTCACTAAAGGGCAATACTGAAGTCCCTAAAGAAAAAAATATTTGGTCTCTGACAAACATCAATGGAAAATATCAAAAAGTTGGAAATAAAATCATTGATTTCACCTTTGTACTAATCGGTTAAACAATTTCTACAAATAAAATGTAATGTCAAAGGAAATAGAAGTTTGATAGCAATCCCAAATGCAGAGTAGAAAATAAAAATGTATCAACCCTTGACCAGGAAAACATCAGCGACAGAGGTTACAACCTAAACCAACTCATCTAATTCAAAATTTACAAACCATTCATGCACATTCTATGACAAACACATTGTTATTCAAATAAGGTGTCAACTTTCATCATTTCAACAAGTCTCTAGAGATCATTTCGTGCAAAAATTTCTCTGCCTTTTCAGTCTTGTCGTTCTTAAAGAGAGCCGGGATGATTATTTCAAAAGTTATAACATTAGATAAACAACCACTGTCTTCCATTTTGGACCACAAGGTCAATGCCTCATCAAGCAAACCCTCCTTACAAAGACCACTGATCATAACATTATAAAACCATGTGTCAGGCTTGTGACCTTTATTCAATATATCTTGAAAAATCTCTTGTGCATTCTTAAGTCTCCCCCCTCTACACATCCCATTAATAAGTATTGTTGCAGTGTATATATCGGGTTGAACTCCATTTTCTCTCATTTTCCTCAATAATTCAATTGCCTTGTCTAGATGATGATTTTTACATAAAACATTAATCTTGGAACTATAAGTGATTACGTCTGCTTGTTGATTTCTATCACGCATCTCACGAAAAAGATTCCAAGCATGAGAGATTCTTCCAGTTTTGCACAAACCATCAATAAGAGTACTGTAAGTCACAATATATGGAACTATATTCCTGTTGTGCATTTCCTGAAAGAGATTTATGGCCTCATCCACCCTTTCGTTCCTTATAAGTCTATTTATCATGATATTGTAAGTCCTAACATCAGGACTCACTCCCATGTGAGTCATTGCACTGAATACTTGTTTCGCATTCTTCACTTTATTAACTATGTAGTACCCACCCATTAGAGCAGTAAAGCTAACAACATCAGGTTTCACATGAGCTTTCACCATCACACCTAACACATTCTTGGCTTCTCCTAGCTTTTTTTCCTTACACAATGCATCAATCAATATATTATAGGTATAAACATTTGGCCTGATACTATTTGATAGCATTTCATTTAGAAAACCAAATGCTACTTCTACCTGTCCCACTAAGCAAAAGCCATAAATTAGAGTACTATAAGTAACAACATTAGGAGAAATTCCCTTGATAACCATCTCAGAATACAAATCATAAGCTTCTTTTGGTTGTTTCTTTTTTAATAGGGAGTCAATAATTATGGTGTACATTACCGCTGATCGACCTTGAATACTTCTGAGCAATTTGATCGCGGCTTCAGTTTCTCCTATTTTGCTCAATCCATTGATCAGAATACCATAAGTAATGTGGTTGAATCGAAATCCTAGTGCTATCACTTTGTCGTGAAGGTTGAAGGCTTCCTTGACCTCACCCTTATCACAGAGACCTCTCATGAGTGTATTTAAGGTTATGGCATCTGGATGATAACCCCGTTTGAGAATCTTGGCAAATACAGAAAAAGCGAAAGCCAATTTGTCTAAGTGACAGAAACAATTGATGAGGAGGTTGAGATTAGCATGGTCACAGAGAATTCCCTTGAGCTCCATTTGCTTAATGAGAGAAATAGCAGTACGGTACCGCTTCATCCTCACAAGAAATCCCAAAATCTTTCCAAATTCGAAGATGGGAGGAACATGGCGCTCATGAAGCAAGCGATTGAATTGTGAGACGGCTTCGTCGTTTAACGAAGTTTGAGAGTGAGAGCAAAAGAGGGAATTGTGGATTGGAAGAAAAGGTGGAAACTTGGCAATGGAAGAAAGAACTGAAAACCTAAAATTTTTTGAGAGCCACATCTTTGCGGCAAACAACAATAGTTTGAAATTATTCAAATTTAGGTTTTCTTCCTTTTAAAAGCTTAACTTGAATTCTTTAAATTTTCTTTTGTTTGGACAAATAATTAAATTTAATGAATTTTAATTTTATTTTAATTTTTTATTTGGATAAAAGTTTTTTAATTACCACTAAATTTTAAAAGTTATTTAAATTTGAAATAATTATTAAGACTTGCACCTTCATTCTAAGTGATATCTTTTTTCTCTGGTACTTCCAAAATTTATTACTGTACTTTTGAATTTTGTCACAATGTCAAAACTATACTTTTAACAAGAGTAAAAAAACAATTTCTCTCCTATTATTATCCAAAAAAAAATTTCTCTCTTATAATTATTCCTGCATCGAATTTTGTCTTATTTTTCTCTTTCTCAACTCTTTTTCGTAATAAATCGTATTGTTCAATTATATTTGTTTGTAAATACATAGTATAGTTTAGGTGAAGGTAAAAATTGTAAAGAACGAAAAATTTAAGAAATTGGAGAAGACAGGTGTATGCGCAGGATTGAACGCTCTGTTTTCAGAGTCATATAAATAAAAGTTTCAAAAATTCATCTCATTCTCTGCATGTACAATATCTTTCCAACCTTCTGATCTCTCTTTTCTCCTCATTCTCTCTAGATTTCTTCCATCTCATTCTATCTGTTCAGCAACCAAACCGTGCTTAAGCAATCTAGGAATCAAGGGCTTTCTCTTTCACCAATCAAATTAGAGTTTATAGTTGGTAAGTTTCGTCCTCTTTCATTCTTGTGAAAATCCTGAAACTTTTGAGTACATACAAGGCACGATTTTGGTTGCATGTGTTCATCAGTTTCCTCTTCTTATTTCTGATCTTATTCTTGGTCTTTTGGTTGATCTCTCTCATCAATCGGTGAGCTATAGGTGGTTCTAGGATTTTCTGGTGTAGTGAGCAAAGTTTTGCAGTTGTTGAGCTCTTGGTCCGATTAAGAGGTAAGGGAAGCTAGTTAATTTAATTAATTTGGTTATGATATATGAGAATGTTGGTTACTGTGGTTGTATGTATGTGAAAATGGAATGTTTGTATGTTCGATATTGTTGTGTGGGCTGTTAATTGTTGTGGCCATGTTTGATTTCGGTTATGCAGAATTATGGTTATTGTGCCGAGTGAATTGTGAGAAAGTGGAGTAGTGAAAAGAGGGAATTTGTATCAGGAGTGGTTTCGGTCTGTAAGGATAATCTAGGTAAGTTGTTTAGGGCCTATTAGAACCCTTAAGTCCTTATAAAATGTGTAAAAAGTAGGAAAACAGATTTTCAGTCATTGAGTTGTTGATTATGCAGAATTTGGAGTGAAATCTGGTATGGGACTCTATGGAAAGATGTTAGAAAGATTTAGGTACTCTTGGATAGTTGTAAATGTGTATATGATTCGTGTTTGGGGAATTAGAAGTTAGGATAAATGTTTAGTTTTGGTAAAGTTTAGCTTGTTCATCCTTCTGTAGATGTTCTGCAGAATTATGTAGAGCTGACGCGTTGTTGACCGCTCAGTCATGCGCTATTAGCTGCTCGGCCATGTTCAATTACTCGGTCTTTAGCTGGGTGCGGTCTCTAGTCTTTCCAGTTCATGACCGTTCGGTCTTAGGTGGTCGGTCTCTTGGTAGTGCTAGGTTTCGTAATAGTGTTCGGTTTGTTATAGGTCTTAACTATTAATGACCTTTTGGTCATGTACTATCTTGATAGTGCTCGGTCATTTACCAGCACTCGGTTTCAGAAGCGCTTGGTCTTGTACTAGTAGTTAGGCTAGTGTGTGCGCTTGGTCTTGTACTAGTGATCGTTCTTGATAGCGCTCGGTCTCGTACTAGCACTTGTTCCTGGTAGTGCTCGGTCTTGTACGGGTACTCGGTTTGTATTTGTGTTCGGTCTTAGCTTGTATTCGGCTCACGTTTGAGCCTCACTCTTTAAATGACCGTTTGGTCATATTTACTCGTTAATGATGTTTTCCGTTTGGTTTTGTTAAAGGGTATTGGTGGTTTTACTGTTCGATTTGACCTTACTATGAAGTATTCGGTCTCTCTTAGTGGTCGGTCCTTAATAGTGTTCGGCCACTTCTTCAGTCTTATCTTTTATGGACCGTTCGGTCCTGTCCTTTGGGAAGTGAGAAAATGTTCGGTGTCCACCATTTACAGGGCATCCGGTCTTGTTCATAAGATTTGTTGATCTTTTCCATTCGGTCGTAGTCAAGGGTTGTGTTGTTGGCCGTTTGGTTTTCTTCTATGAAATGTTATTTTATCTTTAAAATGTTGATTTCATGGTTTGGCTCTGATTGCTTATTATGGTTGCATTGATCTACTATGTATGAGAAATTATATTGGTATTCAAATAAGTTATATGTTTCAAGTAATGTGGAAGAGAATTTCAAGGAGGAATGTCTCAGTGAAAAGTGTATCAAAGTGGTGTTATAGTATGAATATGGGTAGTGAAATTCACGGAGTTCATCTTGATATTCTAATGATTACCAATTCTCAAGTAGAGATGGGTACGGCATTGTGTGAGAATGACATGAGATCCTAGCCCATAGGTTCTTGGGTGAGTTATAACGAACTAACCTTGGGTGGCAGCTGATGGTTTTCCAGTTACTACACCACCCGGATGCATGAACTACCTCAAGCTACATATTCATACAATCCGGATGGTCAAGTCAAGGGTTTAGTTTATGCATGAAGTATAGTGTTCGGTCTTGTATGCTTATTTGTATTTGCATTGGTTGTACTTGTGAAATGTATGTATGATTGCATAATTAAATTACATTAGCTTACCCTTATTTTTCCTGTCTTGTCATGTTATCTGTTCTGTCGTCTACGTCTTTGCAATGATCACCCTGTGGGTGTGAGCAGAGTGCGAAGAGGGTTCTCTGTAGCAGGTGTTGAGCGAGGAGTCTTCAACCTCTTAGAATATGACCGTTCGGTTGATACATTTCTTGTATGACCGATCCATCTGCTCTTATGGTTTGTATCAGTGTAGGATTTTGTAAATTTTAAATTTCTTGATTATTTTAGGATAAGTGTAAAATAATTTTTCCTACAGTAACTATTCTATTTTATTATTATGTGATGTCTCATTAATATAGTTTCATATTATAATTTTTGGGATGTTACAAAAATAAGGTGAAGTAATTAACTAAATTTCAAAATTGGGTATGTATTAATTAGTTCTTTAGTATTTGAAATTAAATAAGTTAAAAAAATTAAACAAAAATTACATGAAACTTTGTAAAAGTATAAATTCTAATTTTTTATTATTATGTAAACATGTTATCTTGGAAACGGTTATAGTGCCACAATATCATAAAAAAATTGTTATTAATTTGAAAGTAGATCATTACTAACGAGTAAATATGAACGAATATCATAAATTAAATTAATTATTTAAAGAATACAATTATTTTGGCTGATGAATTCGGTTTTAATAAATAAAAATAGTAAAAATTGATAAATTATTACTACAATATTTAATTATGGAAAATTATATCACTAATACTATTATACTATGAATTATAACATCATTACTATAAGGCTTAATACTAATTTTGGTTCCAATTTTTGTCAATTTTATTTGAAATGGTCCTAATTTTTTTTTAACGTTCAATGTAGTCCTAAAGATAATAATTTGTGTTCAATTTAGTCTTTTTTGCAAACGTAGTTTAAATAGTTAACGGCCAAATGCCCAGCAATCAGTGAATGACATGTCATTTAAATGCTGGAGTGGACAATTTAAGACGTAGTGAGGTGGATGTGGCCAATGAGGCCTTCCCACATGTCAGCCCCTTACCCATCCAAAATTAGGGTTTTAGATTGGGGAAAGAGATCTCATGCGCCTCTTCTCTCTTCTTTCTTGCGGTGCAAATTAGGGATGGATTTGTAGGTATGTGAAGAAGCTTGGTGGTGCTGTGGCTGACGAGATGGTGGAGAGGTTGATGATGGTGATCCTTGCGGCTGCACATGATGTCGCGACATGGTTGCAATTGAACGAAGAAGACGAAAATGTTTTGATGCGCGATGATTGGAGGCGTAATGTTGATGCTTTTCGCGTGGTCACAATTCTGTGTGCAGGTTTTGAACTGGTTTCACGAAGGAGATTGCGACTCTTAATTTTAGGGTTCGCATGATGGTGGCGGCACTAAGGTCTTGCGGTGTTGATGGCGGCGACGACTTGAGGCATTGGTGGCAAGGTAGGTGTTGCTTGTGCTATGAAGAAGAAGTGGCTTATCGTTGTTGTTGTTGTGTCGCGTTTTTGGGTTCCTCTCTACAGGTGCATGTTGATGGTGGTGAGGTAGTGTCGCGGCGGCCCTCCACAATGAAGGGAGAGTGGTGGCGCATTTGGGCTTCACGACTACGGGTTGGGTGGGGTTTGATGGNCTGATCTTATTCTTGGTCTTTTGGTTGATCTCTCTCATCAATCGGTGAGCTATAGGTGGTTCTAGGATTTTCTGGTGTAGTGAGCAAAGTTTTGCAGTTGTTGAGCTCTTGGTCCGATTAAGAGGTAAGGGAAGCTAGTTAATTTAATTAATTTGGTTATGATATATGAGAATGTTGGTTACTGTGGTTGTATGTATGTGAAAATGGAATGTTTGTATGTTCGATATTGTTGTGTGGGTTGTTAATTGCTGTGGCCATGTTTGATTTCGGTTATGCAGAATTATGGTTATTGTGCAGAGTGAATTGTGAGAAAGTGGAGTAGTGAAAAGAGGGAATTTGTATCAGGAGTGGTTTCGGTCTGTAAGGATAATCTAGGTAAGTTGTTTAGGGCCTATTAGAACCCTTAAGTCCTTATAAAATGTGTAAAAAGTAGGAAAACAGATTTTCAGTCATTGAGTTGTTGATTATGCAGAATTTGGAGTGAAATCTGGTATGGGACTCTATGGAAAGATGTTAGAAAGATTTAGGTACTCTTGGATAGTTGTAAATGTGTATATGATTCGTGTTTGGGGAATTAGAAGTTAGGATAAATGTTTAGTTTTGGTAAAGTTTAGCTTGTTCATCCTTCTGTAGATGTTCTGCAGAATTATGTAGAGCTGACGCGTTGTTGACCGCTCAGTCATGCGCTATTAGCCGCTCGGCCATGTTCAATTACTCGGTCTTTAGCTGGGTGCGGTCTCTAGTCTTTCCAGTTCATGACCGTTCGGTCTTAGGTGGTCGGTCTCTTGGTAGTGCTAGGTTTCGTAATAGTGTTCGGTTTGTTATAGGTCTTAACTATTAATGACCTTTTGGTCATGTACTATCTTGATAGTGCTCGGTCATTTACCAGCACTCGGTTTCAGAAGCGCTTGGTCTTGTACTAGTAGTTAGGCTAGTGTGTGCGCTTGGTCTTGTACTAGTGATCGTTCTTGATAGCGCTCGGTCTCGTAATAGCACTTGTTCCTGGTAGTGCTCGGTCTTGTACGGGTACTCGGTTTGTATTAGTGTTCGGTCTTAGCTTGTATTCGGCTCACGTTTGAGCCTCACTCTTTAAATGACCGTTAGGTCATATTTACTCGTTAATGATGTTTTCCGTTTGGTTTTGTTAAAGGGTATTGGTGGTTTTACTGTTCGATTTGACCTTACTATGAAGTATTCGGTCTCTCTTAGTGGTCGGTCCTTAATAGTGTTCGGACACTTCTTCAGTCTTATCTTTTATGGACCGTTCGGTCCTGTCCTTTGGGAAGTGAGAAAATGTTCGGTGTCCACCATTTACAGGGCATCCGGTCTTGTTCATAAGATTTGTTGATCTTTTCCATTCGGTCGTAGTCAAGGGTTGTGTTGTTGGCCGTTTGGTTTTCTTCTATGAAATGTTATTTTATCTTTAAAATGTTGATTTCATGGTTTGGCTCTGATTGCTTATTATGGTTGCATTGATCTACTATGTATGAGAAATTATATTGGTATTCAAATAAGTTATATGTTTCAAGTAATGTGGAAGAGAATTTCAAGGAGGAATGTCTNCTGATCGACCTTGAATACTTCTGAGCAATTTGATCGCGGCTTCAGTTTCTCCTATTTTGCTCAATCCATTGATCAGAATACCATAAGTAATGTGGTTGAATCGAAATCCTAGTGCTATCACTTTGTCGTGAAGGTTGAAGGCTTCCTTGACCTCACCCTTATCACAGAGACCTCTCATGAGTGTATTTAAGGTTATGGCATCTGGATGATAACCCCGTTTGAGAATCTTGGCAAATACAGAAAAAGCGAAAGCCAATTTGTCTAAGTGACAGAAACAATTGATGAGGAGGATGAGATTAGCATGGTCACAGAGAATTCCCTTGAGCTCCATTTGCTTAATGAGAGAAATAGCAGTAAGGTACCGCTTCATCCTCACAAGAAATCCCAAAATCTTTCCAAATTCGAAGATGGGAGGAACATGGCGCTAATGAAGCAAGCGATTGAATTGTGAGACGGCTTCGTCGTTTAACGAAGTTTGAGAGTGAGAGCAAAAGAGGGAATTGTGGATTGGAAGAAAAGGTGGAAACTTGGCAATGGAAGAAAGAACTGAAAACCTAAAATTTTTTGAGAGCCACATCTTTGCGGCAAACAACAATAGTTTGAAATTATTCAAATTTAGGTTTTCTTCCTTTTAAAAGCTTAACTTGAATTCTTTAAATTTTCTTTTGTTTGGACAAATAATTAAATTTAATGAATTTTAATTTTATTTTAATTTTTTATTTGGATAAAAGTTTTTTAATTACCACTAAATTTTAAAAGTTATTTAAATTTGAAATAATTATTAAGACTTGCACCTTCATTCTAAGTGATATCTTTTTTCTCTGGTACTTCCAAAATTTATTACTGTACTTTTGAATTTTGTCACAATGTCAAAACTATACTTTTAACAAGAGTAAAAAAACAATTTCTCTCCTATTATTATCCAAAAAAAAATTTCTCTCTTATAATTATTCCTGCATCGAATTTTGTCTTATTTTTCTCTTTCTCAACTCTTTTTCGTAATAAATCGTATTGTTCAATTATATTTGTTTGTAAATACATAGTATAGTTTAGGTGAAGGTAAAAATTGTAAAGAACGAAAAATTTAAGAAATTGGAGAAGACAGGTGTATGCGCAGGATTGAACGCTCTGTTTTCAAAGTCATATAAATAAAAGTTTCAAAAATTCATCTCATTCTCTGCATGTACAATATCTTTCCAACCTTCTAATCTCTCTTTTCTCCTCATTCTCTCTAGATTTCTTCCATCTCATTCTATCTGTTCAGCAAACAAACCGTGCTTAAGCAATCTAGGAATCAAGGGCTTTCTCTTTCACCAATCAAATTAGAGTTTATAGTTGGTAAGTTTCGTCCTCTTTCATTCTTGTGAAAATCCTGAAACTTTTGAGTACATACAAGACACGATTTTGGTTGCATGTGTTCATCAGTTTCCTCTTCTTATTTCTGATCTTATTCTTGGTCTTTTGGTTGATCTCTCTCATCAATCGGTGAGCTATAGGTGGTTCTAGGATTTTCTGGTGTAGTGAGCAAAGTTTTGCAGTTGTTGAGCTCTTGGTCCGATTAAGAGGTAAGGGAAGCTAGTTAATTTAATTAATTTGGTTATGATATATGAGAATGTTGGTTACTGTGGTTGTATGTATGTGAAAATGGAATGTTTGTATGTTCGATATTGTTGTGTGGGCTGTTAATTGTTGTGGCCATGTTTGATTTCGGTTATGCAGAATTATGGTTATTGTGCCGAGTGAATTGTGAGAAAGTGGAGTAGTGAAAAGAGGGAATTTGTATCAGGAGTGGTTTCGGTCTGTAAGGATAATCTAGGTAAGTTGTTTAGGGCCTATTAGAACCCTTAAGTCCTTATAAAATGTGTAAAAAGTAGGAAAACAGATTTTCAGTCATTGAGTTGTTGATTATGCAGANGAGGTTGATGATGGTGATCCTTGCGGCTGCACATGATGTCGCGACATGGTTGCAATTGAACGAAGAAGACGAAAATGTTTTGATGCGCGATGATTGGAGGCGTAATGTTGATGCTTTTCGCGTGGTCACAATTCTGTGTGCAGGTTTTGAACTGGTTTCACGAAGGAGATTGCGACTCTTAATTTTAGGGTTCGCATGATGGTGGCGGCACTAAGGTCTTGCGGTGTTGATGGCGGCGACGACTTGAGGCATTGGTGGCAAGGTAGGTGTTGCTTGTGCTATGAAGAAGAAGTGGCTTATCGTTGTTGTTGTTGTGTCGCGTTTTTGGGTTCCTCTCTACAGGTGCATGTTGATGGTGGTGAGGTAGTGTCGCGGCGGCCCTCCACAATGAAGGGAAAGTGGTGGCGCATTTGGGCTTCACGACAACGGGTTGGGTGGGGTTTGATGGTGGTGAGGTGTTGTCCACGTCAACAGTTAAATGACATCTCATTAACTGATTGTGCAGAGTTGGACATTTGGTCCTTAACTATTTAAACGACATTTGCAAAAAGGACTAAATTGAACACATCTTTAGAACTACATTAAACATTAAAAAAAAGGACCATTTCGAATAAAGTTGACGAAAATTAGAATCAAAATTGGTATTAAGCCTTAATATAATTATACAAGTTTTAATATCATTAATAATATTAATAATAAATCATTTATGAATTCTAATATGTAAATATATTATATTAGTGTTTATCAGATTTTTTTGAAATTTGATAAGAGTATTCACAATATTCAAAATCAAAGAGAAATATATCTTGGATTTTAAAATCTGGGAGAAATTAAAAACAATTTTTGAATTTTTGAGAGAAATAAAACCGAATTTCAAAAAATCTGATGAGTTCCTAGACCAAGTTTCGAAATATGGTATGTATGTGTTAATGTTTTAGTTCTATTCAAAATCTTATCCATTATGCTTATTTTCGAAAGGATGAAATTAAGTATTGCTAAATAAATATAGCAATAAATATTTGTATTCAGTTTTGATTATTCTGTTATTAAATATAAATTATTTATAAATTATAACACGTAAATATATTATACTAGTGTTTATCAGATTTCGGAATTGGGTAGTCATTAAATTTCAAAACGTGAGAAAAATAAATATTAAGTTTACAAATTCGTCAGAAATAAATATTGAATTTTTTAAATTCGTTGATTTCGTAAATGAGATTTCAAAATTGGATAATTTTCTAAACCTAATTTTAAAATCAGATGATTTTCTAGATTTCAAAATTCACTGAATTTCTTAATCTAAATTTCAAAATCCAATATATAAAAAAGACTATGAAGAAGAAAAATTATAAGAACTTAGAAGTGTATGGTTTAGTAAATATAAAGAATACAATAAATATATTATAGTAAGTAGTAATTACTACTTATGTAATTTTATTTTATTTTATATATATTTTGACAAAAGGATAAAACTTTGAACTTGGAAGTGCAAAAAAGAATCCTTGGAGCTGCAAAGAGAAGCTCCGTTTCCCAATGAATTTAGATATTTGGGTCATTCCTCCAACCATTTGGTAGGAAATCTTGTTGTTTCCGATCTATAGAGGAACTAGAAGGTACATATATTACTTTAGTATATAAAACATTGTATACACTAACCATATTAAGAGGAAAAAGAGAAAAAATGGTTATTACACTCATTACTGTGAAAACATTGATTTGAAACCGTTTTTCTTTAATTACTACTTGAATTGACATAGATTCGAACTGCAATACTTATAGTAGTTGGTAGTAGCATATGTACATTCTTCTAATTCCTCCATAGATTTTGCATACTATCTTTACAAGTTCAAACCACTAAAAACCTTATTTCATTCACTATCTTCGCTTGATGTGTAAGTTAAATTTCAATAACTTTAAATAAAATTATCAATATTTAGAGATGTCTACAAAATTTGAATTGTTCACACTAAAACAAAAGTATCATTTAATTAAGATATTAATTTTCTATAATTTTAAAATTAAACCCTCATCAGGATAAAATAACAGCTATTTTACAAAACAAAACCAAACTATAGATCTCTCCTTTCTACAAATACGTAAATTTTGTTAAACATTTAATTTCATTTATCAATTAATAACATATATTTATACACTTAACCTATACTTAAGTGTTTTGTTCCTGCTACTGAACAATAGTCTCAGATAGTTACTTCCTCCACCCAAAAATTTCTTATCTCACCAACCAGAACATCGTTTTAACATTTCATATTAGACGATCTGAAAGGTAAAAATTGTTAAGGTGAAAGAAAGAACAACCTTAGTTTCATGAACCATAGTTCTTTTTAGAAACTTGTTTGGTTTTGCAATCAAATAATGAGAAACTAATGTAAGAGCCTCTTTTCAGAAACTACTGTGAACAACTTTGATTGAACTTCAAAATTTTAGTGACAAGCTCATCCACATTTAAAATTCAGAAACTAGTCTGCAACTAAAGAGTAAATTCCAGCACAAAAAGGGATTGTTATTTCACTCAACCAGAATACAAAGGAAATGTAAGAAGAATATTGCATTGCTTGGGAAAACAGTTCCTATCATTATGGGAACATAAACACATTAGTAGCCCCAGAAACCAGCATCACACTACCTTGGCCCCCATTGCTTCCTTCATTTCAACATGACACAAGCACCTTAAAAAAACAATTTCAAAAAAAAAAAATACAAAACAAAACATCATACTAGGTGTCTGTGTAGATGAATCGCTGGGGGCCACATTTACTTACAGGCTACATTGTGTTAGAAAGTGGAAGTAGATGGTTGTGGAGTCTCCCCATGTCTTTTGTCACATGAAGTGAATATATATTAGCTTTTAGAACTATTGGGAATCAAAGTCAGGTTTTGAAGGATAGTCAAGACCTTGTAGAGCTGGCATCTTTCGGATATCCTCATCTGAATATGAAGGAATGAACCAGTACTTCTTGTCCATTCCAAAAACCTGATATCCAACCAAACATCAATCATAATGTTACCACATATATTAGTCAATAATAATACCAGAACAAGACCACCCCACCATCCATAAGTCCAAGTTCTGTTACTTTTTTAGTGTTGTTACTCAGCTAAGCTTCAAATTTCACTGATTTTGGTATATTAAAACAGCTTCAAGTAACTTTTATGTTAGATCAGAAGTTTCATACAGTAAAATTGACAACTTGGTTTTTTGAATAAGAACACTCAAACATAAAGCACACACAACTTCAAAATCAATTCTATTTAGAATCAATTTTACATAATACACTCAACCAAACACACTAAATAACAAGATACGGCCATATTAGAAATAGGCATATGTTAGGTTTCTTGGTGTCAAGAAACGTAGATACGATCTCAGAATAAATACTCACCACAGATTTATGAATCCTCACAGTGAGAACAGTTTCATTGAATGGAAACAG